TGGGTGAAAGATACTGCATTCCCGGTCGCAGAAAGGGTGAAGTCCCCAGATTAGCGGATCTCATGGGATCCAGAAAAGCATAGGGTCATCAGCATGAAGACAAGCGTCCTCCACTCTGAATCCTGGTTGTCCACCATGCCTTTTTGCCAGCAGAGCTCCAACAGGAGCATTGCTGTTGTGACTCTCTCTGCTAGTCAGTCCCCTCAGACTGCAACTGAGGGAGGAGAGGTTTGAAATGCAGAGCAGGAAATCAAACGGGCAAGTCCTGGCCTACCGACATTGGTTCTACTGGGTTCTGAGAGGGAGGGCACTGTCTCCACCAGAGAGCTCCTGGAGCTAGGGTTCCCCTGGGGAACAGCAAGGTAAGGAAATGTATAATGGAGACAGTACCCTCGCACACCTTCCTTTTCCTCCCAACATACACCAGGATTCTGTCCCCAGCCATCTGTGGAGCAGAGGGAATCACAGACACCTAACCAACTAACCTTAACAGAGCCGTATAATTAAGCATGGGGAGGGGTCCAGCACAGCAGCCAATAGTGATTAAAAGACAAGGCGCTCCTGAGGTGGCAATGTCAGATGGATGTGGACGCCCATGAAGCAGCTTTGCATCCTAGCGAACTACAGCAAAAGATCCAGCATCTGCTCACCTACGGAACAATAGCTTCCTTGAGAAGTGCAGGAGACACACCTCCCAGGAGGAGGGATGCAGGGAGAAGGTCTTGAATCTACATCCGTCCCTCTTTAAGGTCTTTACCAATCAACAGGACTAGTCATTCATCCATCAGCTGCATAATGAGCAGAGCGTAAGCCATGACTGATATGACTGACTAGTGAGTGTCGGACTAGAGAGGTTCGACCTGTAAAACACACTGGATTTATTTTTACTGAGAACCCTCAGATTCCAACCCTTTGCAAACATGAGCTGTTCCTCAGCTGACAGAGTAAATCCGCATAGCTCCTTTAATTCACACCAAGAATCCAGCCCATGGGTTTCATTTGCTACTGGGGCCCCTTAGCAATCATGGGCCTCCCTAGTCTGGCAGAACCTACTTAGTCTGGCACCCTTGGGACCTGACTGGTGGTGAACTAGAGAATTTTACGAACCATAGGAGGTCAAAGTTGTCTAATGGAAGTGCATTCTGGGCTCTTTGAAGACATTTAGGGGTTAATTAAAGCCAAGTAACAGCACAGAACACTGAAAGCCAGAACTGGTGGCTGTAAACAAACTTTATGGACTGCAGGAAACATGGCCACACCCATGATAAGAGGACATCTGGGTAATTAAAATCATGCCATACCATGGATGTCGCCAGACCAGAGAGTGCTGGACTAGAGAGTGCCAGACTAGTGTGTGCCAGACTAGAGAGGTTCGACCTGTAAAACACACTGGGCTTATTTTTACTGAGACCCCTCAGATTCCAACCCTTTGCAAACACAATATGGGCAGTTTTACGTTTTCAGCAGTGCATGTCAGTCACACAAAGCCCTGTTGTTCCTCAGAACAACCCTATTCCTCAGAACAACCCCTTCAGACAAGTGGATGGTTTCTTATAATCCAACCGAGCAACCAGGATCACAGTGCGTTGGCCTGAGATGCTCAAAAGAGCACAGACCATGTTGAAAAAAGACAGTAGGGAAGAGCAACACCTCCATCTCTGAGTTTTTATTCCAAATCGTGGCATGGTAAGCACTCACCTTGGCACACAAAAGAAGATGGAGTTTCTCCAGGGTGGACACGAGCCGTGATGAACACCACTTTCTGCTCAGATCCAGATCGAAGGTTTACTGCAAAAAAAAAAAAAAAAAAAGAAACAAAGATCTTTAAATTGGGTCCCATATGTAGGACACAAAGGGCCATAAATATTAAAGAGTCTCCTTTTATTAAAATTGTTCATACATTATAAATGGGGATGGTCTATAATTGAAGGATGTGGCATTGCTAGCTCTTCGTAGACTGTGAAAGACTGCCCAATAGCAAAGGAGTGCAAGTCTAATGACACAACAAACCCAAGGCGGCAACAACAAAGTTAGTTTCTTTTTAAAAACAAGATTCACTACAGTGAGTTTAACTGCTTTGTAATTGCTCTCTCGCTTGTGATAAACGTCCTCCTGGGGCGACAAGAAAAGCAGTGGGGTTCCAGTCACAGTGTAAAGCCAATTGCACCCTGCATTACACTTGATACAAGATTTAGCATGGTGCCAAATAAAGGCAAAGTGCTGGCAAATGACATTTATTAGCATGTACATGGCTTTCTTTTTCATTATTTTGACCTGAGTTTGCCTCTATCAAAACATATGCCGGAGATATTCAAAATCAGCAAGGCATTCAAAACAAACTGGGACTGAATGTATGTACTGAGGAACACTGGAAAGTCAAATCATTTTATAGAAACTGCTTCACTCTGAATTGAATCGCAGTCACCTCTGGGGTGGAACATGACAGCTATTTAACAGTTTTGAGTCAGTAATGATGAAAATTGTAATGTAGCCATTTGAAATTACAGACAGGTGGAAGGGAGCTTTACTAACACAAGAATTAGGGCATAACACAAGAACTAGGGGGTCACCAAATGAAATTAATAGGAAACAGGTTTCAAACAAACTAAAGGAAGTATTTCTTTACACAACATAGTCAACCTGTGGAACTCCTTGCAAAAGGATGTTGTGAAGACCAGGAATTTAACTGGGTTCAAAAAAGAAATAGATACATTCAAGGAGGAGAGGTCCAACAATGGCTATTAGCCAAGATGGGTAGGAATAGCGTCCCTAGCCTCAGTTTGTCAAAAGCTGGGCATGAGTGATAGGAGAGGGATCATGTGATGATTACCCGTTCTGTTCATTCCGTCTGGGGCCCCCGGCATTGGCCACTGTAGGAAGACAGGATACTGGGCTAGATGGTCTTTGTTCTGACCCACTATGGCCATTCTTATATTTATATTTAGTAGTTAAAACATAAGCACTCACATTGGAATTTAGCTAGGACTCTAGGGTTAACATCTTACAATTCAGCCCCTATGTAGGGATAATAAAATAAAATACTTCAAACTACATTGCCTTGACTGTCTATTAAAACTGTACACTTTGTGGGGCAGAGGGCATGTTTTCTTCAGTTTTTCCACAGTGACAGTGTTTACAAATAGGCAATAAAAAAATACCCTCTTGCAAAAAGGACCATGGAAATTTTAATGACCAGATCAGGTCAGGACCTCAGGAATACATCTCATCCAGATCTAAAGCACTCAAGGGAAGTTACACTAAAACCAGCAAGACAAAATTGTGATAGATATCTATTTTCAGTTCAAACCATTGCAGGGAGACAGGGTTTTAAAATACTAGAAAAGAAATACACAATGAATTCACAATGAATGAATGTATGAATTCCAAAATTCACAATGAATTTTTAACTGTGTACACACACAGGGAGGTACATATGGCTCTGGTAATTGCAAGTAAATTGTGAGGCTTCATTTTGTTTAATTTTCTGGTTTACAGACACTCAAATCCCAGCCAGTGACAAACCTAAACCCATGTTGACAAAATAATAAAAATAATAATCATCATCATGGTTATGTTTTCAGTTCTTCTCAGAAGGCACTTGGAAAAAAGACCATGGCAGGCTTCTTTTATATTTCTTCAGTCCCTCAAATATCCTACAGCTGTTCAACCTGCAACCCAGACATTTATTCAGCCTTTGATACACTAACTTCGCTCCTCTCTGGTGTGTTTTTGAGCCCCAGAGGCAGAGAAATATAAGAAAGAATGTCTCTAACAAAAGTAGCAGCTGCTGGGGTCAATGCTGTCTGCTGAAGAAAAGTGGGAGGCAGCAGAAAGGAATGCAAGAACATCAGCTAGAACCTAATGACCACCCCGTGTCATTAACATTAACACTGAGTAATGAAGGAGGAAGGAGATAAATCAGCTCCTAACAATGTCAAGTGAAAAAGAGAGAAACCTGGGATGTCTCCTGTAGCTGGAGTGGCATTTTCTTATATATATATATAAAGTCTAACATTAAAGAAGCAGATACTTGACACGGTATAGATAAGCAAGGGTAATCACGTGAAAATACAAATAAAATGGATAATGTTGACAGTTTACACCAGACAAGACTCTGCCCTGTGTTTTTGAGAAGACATATGTAATATTTTATATTATATACACACTTTCTTTTTATATAATTGGTATTCAGATTAGCAGATGATTAATTCTCCTCCAATACTGGAATGATTCCTCCCTGATTAGGGCCTGATTCAAAGGTCACTGAAAGCAATAGATACACTGGACTGATTTGACTGGGCTTTAGCTCAGACCCCAAATTAAAGCACCTTTTTCCTCCCTCCCCCATACACATTAGGAAGGATCAGTACAGCCTGAACTGCAAAGGATGAGCTAATTCCTTATGACACGGACTCTGGAAAAACAACTTCTTGAAATACATTGATTGAAGAGGATATACATGTTTTCATGTTAATTTCTACACAGATTTTCTCTCATTTCATAATTAAATCATCAAAAGCAAGAGCGTATTAAAAAAAAGGCCTCACTTGTGATCTTAATAATACCTTGGAGTACTCTTATCGAAAGCACTTTTTAATTTACTTGTTTTATTTTTGTGGTTTAGTAGGTGCCTGGTTAGTTTAGTTTGCAATCTGTTTCCCTCCTCAGAAATTGGGTTGCAGAACCTGCTGGGAAACATCTAAATCCAAACCCGACCTCCCTCCCCCTGGAAAGTCATCTTTTAGAAGATGGCAAATGTTGGATCATTAGCTCTGGAAAGCACAACCCTCTGACTAACTACTTGACAGATCAGGTAGGAGATGTAGGCTCACCTAGGCTTCCCTTGGTGCTTCAGTCCTAACCTGGAAGCAGCACATTGATTTTGGAGACATGAGTATCCATTGGCCTGTGAAATAGTTCAGCTTTTCTTCAGCTGATGGCAATCAGGGGACTAATTAGGGCTAATGTGGACACCTGTCAGGTTATTGAACTCTGAGCACCAAACTTTTCTCCACATAGTCCAACAAACAGCTATTGGACAGAAAAAAACAAAAAACAAAAACCAAACAAACAAAAAACCCACTGAATCCAAAGTTTTCAGATTGGGATCTAATAACAACTTTGATTCTTTGCTGATCTTGGGTTAGATGCAGAGCAACAATTTACGTGTGTAATGCTCACTGCAGATAGATGCTGTCCCAGGACATTCTCCTATGGTGGCCTTATAGGTCCTTAAAGGAACCTTCCTGCACCAGGACTTTAAAAGAAGGACTGGAACAAATGGTCTGCGATGGTCCTTCCCTTCCCTCTCCCATACACTAGCTGTTCCCTGGACCTGTAGCATCTAACACGCTAGCCACTCACCACATGCAGCTATTCGGCTGGTTGAGTGTGGCTAGTTGGATTGAACAATAAAAACTCAAAAATCACAAAAGTTTTTACATTTTTAGAATAATGTGGCGAGTTTGCTATAGCGGCTCCTGCTTCTGAACTGGTTGGACATCACGGGACCATATTTCTCTCTTCCAGAGATTGCTTCAGTTGCTTCCCTGAAGACATGGAACAGGACAACCACTTCTCTTGCCTTAGAAGACAGTCTTCTTGTTATACATGCAGCACATTGATCAATCGCAAGGAAGGCAGTCCTATCACCATTTCTGTGTTTGCATGGCTGACACATTCAGTCTTGTAATTTCCCTCCTTTCCCAAGTTGTATTTTGCAAACACTGAAACACAAAGGCTACGTCTACACTGGCATGATTTTCCGAAAATGCTTTTAACGGAAAAGTTTTCCGTTAAAAGCATTTTCGGAAAAGCGCGTCTAGATTAGCAGGATGCTTTTCCGCAAAAGCACTTTTTGCGGAAAAGCGTCCGTGGCCAATCTAGACGCGCTTTTCTGCAAAAAAGCCCTGATCGCCATTTTCATGATCGGGGCTTTTTTGCGGAAAACAAAGCTGAGCTGTCTACACTGGCTCTTTTGCCTGAACGGGAGCAGCATAGTATTTCCGGAAAAGCACTGACAATCTTACATGAGATCGTCAGTGCTTTTTCGGAAATTCAGGCGGACAGTGTAGACAGCTGGCAAGTTTTTCCAGAAAAGCGGCTGATTTTCTGGAAAAACTTGCCAGTCTAGACACAGCCAAACATTAAACTTGAAAATAAAAAGTCTAGGTTTTGCAACCATGGAGTTCTCCTTACTCTCCATACAATGATAGCGTTTTCCTCTTGCACTCTCTCTCTTTTGATCTATGTGATAGATCGCCATCTTTTTTGAAAGGCATCTATTGAACAACAGGCTTCAACACAAAATCAGTGATACTGTACTAGGCCCGGTCTTTGCTGCTTTTTGATACAGCTACCAAAACATTTCATCCCTCTAAGCTTCAATCTCAGATTATGAATCCTTCCTATTTTGAATAGCAAAACTCTGATTAAAATTACAACTAAAGACATTTGAACGATGTGACTTGTTTGGCTGATACTAGAGTATTTAAGAAGTTCAAATAAAGAAAAGCAAGGTTGCTCTGCAAATGCACAGCACCAAATTCTGAAAATTCATATCAGTAAAATTAAATAATATAGCTAATGGGATGTACTTTCAGGAAAGCAAAAATCAGTTGAATTATGCAGATTGGTTTTTAGTTTTTCTCTGCATTATATATCACCACACCATTATCCACAAGCTTAAGTCTGAAAAACAACCCCTAAAACTAAAGCTACATCTCCAATTGTGGGAAGATTGACACTGTGGATCCATCTTCCAGTGTTCAATTTAGTGGGTCTAGTAA